GATTTTTCTTACAGTTTCTTATACTGTTGACTCTCTACAAGCTCCCTAATAAAAGTCAATAGTATTATCTAATCAATAGTAATATAACTTTTACTTCGGCGCCCCACGTTTTTGATAGCTTATAGTAGAGTGATCGCTTGCATTATTGTGATGTATAGTATTTATTTTCTACTTTTTAGTTCAATCAGAAAACGTGGGTTTTTTAAAACTTTTTTAATGATTATTATTGATACAGTATACATGCGGAATTGAATAAATGTGGGGTCGTCCATAAATGACGTCACACTCGTAGGGGGGAGGGGGTCCGTAATTTTGTGACGGTGTGTGATGAGGGGGAGAGGGGGGAGGATTCAGATGGTGCGATGGTCACACTTTTGCATTATAAAAAAGCAATGTTAGAAAACGAATTTTAGACGTTATTTTGCGTTTTAGAAAACTGTTTTAATAAATTGTAATAACAATTGATTAAAATACTCTATTTTGACAGAGTTCAGACAAGATTTTGGAAAAAATATAGCTGTTTAAAAAATCTTCAACTGCAATTTTGAGGGGGGGATGTACGCTAAGGTGTGACGTCATTTTAGGGGGTGGTCTGGCTTTTTGTGACGTTATGTGACGGAGGGGAGGGGCTGGGGAGTAAAAATCGTCAAAAAAAAGCGTGACGTCATTTATGGATGACCCCTATGTTTAGAACAGTCACCTAAAAACTGACGCTATGTTCACTCTGAGTTGGTTATCCACCCCCACCTCACCACCACAATTGTGTAGAGCAAAATTAATGTAACACCTGGGTATACGCTGGGTTGGATAATTGACCTAAAGTGACCGGAAAATGGTAAATAAAGTTGAACCCCTCCTCCTCACCAACCCACCCCGATCTGATCTGTTAAGTACATTTGGGAAAACGCGTAATGATGTACAAAAGTACCATGCCGCCAGAATCATAGCTTTTGAAACGTAAATCTCTGTGAATATTGTTTTTGCAATTACCAGTAAAAGGTGTGTGAGTAATAAAGTGATCTAACCCATACCTTCTCATTATGTTAAAAAAAATATCTTTAAAGAACACAAAAAGTCAGTAGCTAATTAAAAAGTGCATGATCTGAAATGTAAGACCGATATTTTAGTTATATGCAGGCTATTATTCCGAATGTGTTACATTTACATTGAAATGCTGGCTTTTATACCAACTCTGATTTTAAAAACTTTCATTATGTTGTAATACTTTAGCATTTATGAGAAAAATATATTTAATTCTGATTGTAGACAAAATATTGTTGTAAAAACGAATAGTGTTAAGCTCACTTTATTAGATTCTTAAGTAATTATTGATTTGTTTTGATATTTTTAATAAAATGTGTAGACATACATATTTTTATTAAGATATTGATTATTTCCCCTTTTCGCCTGTCTTAATTAATGTCCAAGGAATTATTATGTAATTTTTTTACAAGGATTTTTATTTCTTCGGAGTGCTACCTTAAATTTATTTTACATCATAACGAAGCAATAACATACAGCTAATGTATATATATATATATATATATATATATATATATATATATATATATATATATATATATATATATATATATATATATATATATATATATATATATATATATATATATATATATATATATATATACATATATATATATATATATATATATATATATATATATATATATATATATATATATATATATATATATATACTTATATAGAAGATTACAAATTCGGCGCCTTTTTTTTCTATTTTCGCTCCCCCTACACCGAAAACCTGGATACGCCTCTGCTTAAGCCAGCCGTTGACTCTAGATCTAGATCTCTAGCTTTATTTAGATCTAGAATCTATGCCCATAATGAGTTTCTTTACTAAACTATTTCAGGCCTTATTCATTTTATACAAATCTTTGATTAGCTATGGAATTGGCTGATTTGGGATACAATTTATTTTGAAATAATAGGGCCTATTCACGTAACTCAAGTTTCTTACGCTGACTCTAGATCTAAGCAAAGTACCCCACTAATTCTCCACCTTTTCGGTGCCTAGGTAGCGGAGATGATAATGTGATAGATACCATGCGGGTGGTACGGGATTGAGACATATCATGTCAATGATATTTTTTTTAGATGTGAATGATAAAGCTGCCTATCGGGACTTGTCGGGACTCGGAGCGGGTGAAGTAGAGTTCACCTGTTTCTTTCCTCTTAGCGTATGCAGGGATAATGTGGTCAGACCCATGCTCGGTCGGAATCGGTGTTTTTAAACGATAAAAACATGTTGCCTAAGACTTGGCGGGACACTGGGCAGATGAAGTAGAGTTAGGCAGGTACAGAGTTAACCCGTGACGTCAGCATATAAAGGGATAGTGTGGTCAGACCCATGCTCAGCCGAAATTGGTGTTTTTAAAAGACAGTAACATTTTGTCTGAGGTGTGACGTCTTTTTGAATGTGGGGTCTGAATTTTTGTGAAGATGTGTGACAGTGGGAAGGGGAAAGGTAATAAACGTCAAATAAACATAACGTTATTTATAGATGACCCCAAAACACACGGTTATTCAAGAATAACGGGTTGTATAGTATTGTATTAAAATTTCTAAAAAAAAGTACTACCTTGTAGTCAGAATGAAAAACTTTAAGTGCCGATAACTTTGAATGATACACAAAAACTTGTTAGAAACCTGATTGGTGTGGCGTGCAAAACACAGTGATCTCGCTGGAGAAATCTGCATTGGTGTGCACGTGTAGCGACATAAATATATACAACATCGCGTACGTGTGCAAATACAGAAACAAATTCACACGTAAATTGGAAAAACATGCAAACTCATACACATACATACATATACGCACACACAATCGCATAGTCGAAGATAAATATATAAACATACACACACGCAATCACACTCCTGCAAAAATCGTGAACAAATACACGCAAACTCATATGAATATATACACTCGTGCTCACACACGCACAAACACAAAACACATCATCCTACATACATTCTAGATAACCTGTAAGGATACTGTAATAAATTGTGTTTTTAATTCGAAGTTAAAATCATAAATTATATACACGCTGGGCATAGTGCTAACCACGACATGCCTTCATAAGAGAGATCACTGAAACATGTGAACTCTACTTCATCTACCCTAAGACCGCAGACTTCCAAAAGGGTATTTAAAATGTAAACTATTACGCACACAGATAACTCACAAAAAGATAGATAAACAAAACAACACACATCTAAATACATACGCACATAAAATCGTGTGAACTAAAAGCACGCACTATAAGAAACCCACATATGCAGACTCGCTCACACGGACATACACACGTACATACAAAATACTTTTCTATTAAGGTTGTTGTACTTCAACACAGGCAAACTATTTCAGCAAGGTTCAATAGTTTCAAATATGCACTGATGCACACGAGACAATGACCTGTAGCTAGTATTTGCTCTGTGATGTAACATTTGTTTATCGAGCACACGATACTAAATCGAATGTTGAGATTTCTATTTTATTCATCACACATATACAACACATACACGCACACACTCAAACGCAAAAGACTGAAACTTGCAAAAACACACACTAACGTGAGTACACAGCGCACACGCTGTAGTACACAAAAGCATGTGAATACATTGAAAAAAGAAAACAACATGGATTGAACGCATATCGTTTTTAGTGTTTGGATAACCTCCTTTGCCGTATATAGAGGAAGCTTTCAAAAAATATAAAATTTATCAACTTGAAGAAAAGTTTTGCAACCTACTAGTCTTTTAACCAATACGTGTGAATCAAATCAAATGTAAAAAAAATTGCTTGATATGTACATGTTCCTTCAAGGGTTAATATAGAAAGATAAAACTGTTGCGCAATTTGTCAAGTTTTTGTGCAATAAGCTCCTCCCACTCACCCTATTAGGTTTTTGTGCAATAAGCTCCTCCCACTCACCCTATTAAGTTTTTGTGCAATAAGCTCCTCCCTCTCACCCTATTAAGTTTTTGTGCAATAAGCTCCTCCCTCTCACCCTATTAAGTTTTTGTGCAATAAGCTCCTCCCACTAACCCTATTAAGTTTTTGTGCAATAAGCTCCTCCCACTCACCCTATTAAGTTTTTGTGCAATAAGCTCCTCCCTCTCACCCTATTAAGTTTTTGTGCAATAAGCTCCTCCCTCTCACCCTATTAAGTTTTTGTGCAATAAGCTCCTCCCTCTCACCCTATTAAGTTTTTGTGCAATAAGCTCCTCCCACTCACCCTATTAAGTTTTTGTGCAATAAGCTCCTCCCACTCACCCTATTAAGTTTTTGTGCAATAAGCTCCTCCCTCTCACCCTATTAAGTTTTTGTGCAATAAGCTCCTCCCTCTCACCCTATTAAGTTTTTGTGCAATAAGCTCCTCCCTCTCACCCTATTAAGTTTTTGTGCAATAAGCTCCTCCCTCTCACCCTATTAAGTTTTTTTTTGTAATAAGCTCCTCCCTCTCACCCTATTAAGTTTTTGTGCAATAAGCTCCTCCCTCTCACCCTATTAAGTTTTTGTGCAATAAGCTCCTCCCACTCACCCTATTAAGTTATTGTGCAATAAGCTCCTCCCACTCACCCTATTAAGTTTTTGTGCAATAAGCTCCTCCCTCTCACCCTATTAAGTTTTTGTGCAATAAGCTCCTCCCTCTCACCCTATTCAGTTTTTGTGCAATAAGCTCCTCCCTCTCACCCTATTAAGATTTTGTGCAATAAGCTCCTCCCTCTCACCCTATTAAGTTTTTGTGCAATAAGCTCCTCCCTCTCACCCTATTAAGTTTTTGTGCAATAAGCTCCTCCCTCTCACCCTATTAAGTTTTTGTGCAATAAGCTCCTTCCTCTCACCCTATTAAGTTTTTGTGCAATAAGCTCCTCCCTCTCACCCTATTAAGTTTTTGTGCAATAAGCTCCTCCCACTCACCCTATTTAAGTCGCTACACGTACACACCAATGCAGATTTCTCCAGCGAGCTCACTCTGTGTTTGCACGCCACACCAATCAGGTTGCTAACAAGTGTTTGTGTATCATTCAAAGTTATCGGCACCTAAAGTGTTTCATTCTGACTACAAGGTAAAAAATAGTGATTAATTTGTCTATTGCTTAATTATTTTTAAGGGGGGGGGGGGGGGTTCAGACAAGACGTCTCATCGTTAAATCTCAACTTCCTTTAAAACTTTTGAAATAATATTTTTTCTAATATAATATTTACCAATCTTTGTCAAGATAGAATCGATTATAATTTTTCTTACAACTTACAAAACATCTTTAAAAACGCGTATTAAAAGCTACATAATTATTTTTTTAATAAGCAAAAAGCTCCTTCCATTACTATGCCAAAAATGATCACAGAGTTTCGATGGGGCTTTAAAAATAAATCGCGGAGCATCTTATGGCTTTCTATATCAGTAATAGATACGAGTAAGAAAAAAATACATAAAAATCGTTTTAGTTACAAGCTTTTATGTAATAATGCACTAAAAAATGAGAATATAAATTACTTTCTTTAAAAATATAATAATACACTACTATTTAAATAACTATAAAAAAGCGTAGGTCGCTATATTATATATTTGATACCACTACTAATATTTAAGAAGAGACACACGCTTTTCTTTATTATAGTAGTGTATTATATATTTAAAGAAAATTATTTATTTTCTCCTTTTTAGTGCATTATTACATAAAAGCTTGTTATTAAAACGTTTTTTTTCTGCAATTTATTTTAAGTACTTTTTTTAGAAATTTTAATACAATACTAGACAACCCGTTATTCTTGAATAACCGTGCGTTTTGGGGGTCATCCATAAATAACGTTATGTTTATTTGACGTTTTTTACCTTTCCTCTTCCTACTGTCACACATCTTCACAAAAATTCAGACCCCACATTCAACAAGACGTCACACCTCAGACAAAACGTTACTGTCTTTTAAAAACACCTATTTCGGCTGAGCATGGGTCTGACCACACTATTCCTTTATATGCTAACGTCACAGGTTAACTCTGAACCTGCCTAACTCTACTTCATCTGCCCGGCAACATGTTTTTATCGTTTAAAAACACCGATTTCGGCCGAGCATGGGTCAGACCACACTATCCCTTCATATGCCAAGAGGAAAGAAACAGGTGAACTCTACTTCACCCGCTCCGAGTCCCGCCAAGTCCCGATAGGCAGCTTTATCATTCACATCTAAAAAAAATATTATCATTCACATGATATGTCTCAATCCCGTACCACCCGCATGGTATATATCACATTATCATCTCCGCTACCTAGGCACCGATTAGGTGCATAATTAGTGGGGTACTTTGCTTAGAACTAGAGTCAGCGTAAGAAACTTGAGTTACGTTAAATGGCCCTATTATTTCAAATTAAATTGTATCCCAAATCAGCCAATTCCATTAATCAAAGATTTGAATAAAATGATTAAGGCCTGAAATAGTTTAGTAAAGAAACTCATTATGGGCATAGATTCTAGATCTAGATAGAGCTAGAGATCTAGATCTAGAGTCTACGGCTGGCTTAAGTCTATTTTTTCTGTAGCTCTAGAATCTAGATCTAGATAGGTAAATCCCTTGAATTCTCGAATTAGATGATCCTTGATGCTAAAAAGCAAAGATTTATAATTTATATCAAATATTTAAGGCCTAAATTAGTTTAATAAAAAAGCTCAATAATTTATCGTGCTTTTATAGTTGTTTTTATTTTAAACTAATTAGTTTTGGTTTGACCTAGATTGTAGATATAGGTTCTACTTTGACTTTTCCTTCCTCCCAAAGCTTGTTTGTAGATCTAGAGAAATTTATTGTATACTCAAATTAGAAGAACTGTTGAAAATTGATAATAGTGTTGGAACCTTATAGAAATAGAAAACTGACGTTTCATTAAAGCTATAGCCGACATAATATTTTTTTTATTTATAATGTGTTTAACTTTGTGACAAAACTATAACTTAAAAATAATTGTTCTGAACTTTTATAATTAAAGAAAGTGATGTTTCTACCAATGCATATATCAATACATTAATTAACGGCTTTAAATAAATTTGTGGTTAACAGTTTGATAAAAAAGAACATTGTTCTCTAACTAATTACGTATTTTACAGCTCTATTTATAGTGCAGATTCTCTCCTGTAACCAAACAGACAAAGAAAAAAAACAAATAATTATACAAACTTGTAAACAAACTTGAGTTTTAGTAGTATATAGTTAGTTTCATGACTAAAAAGTATTGCGAGCAAAATGAACATGATATTGCGCGTATAATAATGCGAAAAGTGGTAGTAGACACCCTACTACTAATTTTCAGAAAATGTTAATTAATTAATACAAATAATTAATCATCCAATTAAATCAAAATTGATGTCAGATTGCATTGCCATTGGGTCATGACCCACGCGCTGAATTTAAGAGAAATTGATTTTTTTGAAATTTCGCTCGCCCGTTTTTATCTAGACAGA